CATGACCACATTCCAGTCATGTGAGCTGTTCTACCATGGAAGGAAGGCTCTACAGAGGGATCTGGACAGGCTGGATCAATGGGCTGAGCCAATTATACAAGATTCAGCAAGGTCAAGTGTCGGTTCCTGCGCTTGGGTCAAAACAATCCCATGCGACACTACAGGCTTGGGGAGCAGTGGCTGGAAAGGTGCCTGTCTGGAAAAGGCCTTGGGCATGGTAACAGGCAGCCAGCTGAATATGAATGAGTGGGATGCCCTGGTGGCCAAGGCAGCCAATAAAATCCTGGCTTGTATCAGAAACAGTGTGGCCAGCAGGACTAGGGAAGTGAGGCTTAGCACTGGTGAGGCTATACCTTGAATACTGTGTTTAGTTTTTGGCCCCTCACTACAGGAAAGACATTGAGATGCTGGAGTGTGTCCAAAGAAGAGTAACAAAACTGGTGAAGGGTCTCATAAGTTTTATGAGAAGCGGCTGAGGGAACTGGGGTTATTTTTCCTGGAGAAGAGGAGGCTCAGTGTGGACCTTATTGCTTTCTACATTTACCTGAAAGTAGGTTGTAGAAAGGAGGATGCTGGTCTCTTCTCCTAAGTAACAAGTGATAGGACAAGAAGTGGCCTCAAGTTGCACCAGAGGAGGTTTAGCTTGGATATTAGCTAATTTTCTTTTTCATAGAAGGGGCTATCAAGTGCTGGAACAGCTTGTCCAAGGAAGTGGCGGAGTTACCAACCCTAAAGATATTTAAAAGATGTGTAGATGTGGCATTTAGCAACATGGTTTTATGGTGGACATGGCAGTGTTAGGTTAATGACTGGACTTGATGATCTTAAAGATCTTTTTCCACCTAAATTGTTCTAACTCACAATATATTTTCTCAAGGCTTCCTAAGAGACCTGAGAGCTACATGGTAAAGATATCAAAGTAGGAAGACAAGAGGCAAGATGAGACTGTTTGAAAATATAATTAAATTATTAAGAACAGATCCTCCTCTTCTAAAGTAGCAAAAACCCCATTGAAACATTTAGAACTGTATTGTTTTGAGTCTGTTCCTTTTTTGTTCAAAAGAATTTGTTCATTAAGTCACAGACTTACAGCACTTGTTTCGCACCATACTAATGGAGAGTAAGAAATTATTACACATTTTTATTTATTTCATAAATTTATTTAATAAAACAGATAAACTGAGAACCTTCAATGTGCTTTCTCAGCAGACATCATCTATAAGAGACCTTTCATTTAACATTGTCAAGGTCATGAAAATCTTTTGGGCATAAATGATTATAAGTTAAGTGGTTCAACATACTGGTTCAGTTAAAGATCTAGATATTCATCACCTTTCCCAGGCCCTGGAGTTCATGACAAGGAAACCAATATTTACAGATCAAAAAGAATCTGTGGTGCCCATTGACCAGATGACAAATTTGTGTGGTGTTAAAATGAGTTTGACCAGACGACTCATAAAGTGGTGAACATACCCCATGTTTTGCACACAAATACTTATGTTGAGAACATTTGACTTTCATTTGCTCATTTTTTAAGTGGTTCTAGTCTTCCTAGCCTTGAAAATTCTGTCTCTTGTACTTGCAAGGGGAATTAACTCTCTATGACTCAGGGCTTAAATACTCTGACAGAACTCAAAGAAGAAACGCAAAACTGTTCCTCATATCTCAGAGAAATGTTCTCGTTACATTCTAAATGAACTGTCCACTGGATGCATGCAGAAAATTATGCACTGTGAAAATCTTCAGAATATATGGACATTGTTCCAAAGAAAAGTTAAAATAATTTTTTGCAACTTCAGAAGCTATTACAAAATATGTTGAGTAATTTCAATAGGAAAATGTGCTCTTTACATCCCATAGTTATTTCTTTCCCACTGTGTGACTACATATCCTACACTGAGCTGTAGGGTCTATCAGCATGAAGCAAAACAATAAGATTATTGAAGTCAACATGTAGACATAGTATTTACATTTAAAACCTGCTGCTTTGTAGGAGAACCAGGTTGAATAAAACCTTTTTTTTTTAAACATTGGATTTTCAATTATTATCCAGGCTTTTAATAATTCTGACATCTTTTGTTCTAAACCCAAAATAAAGAAAAAAAATAGAGAATTAATGATATGATAATAATTGCTGTTCTCGTAAAATTAAACTGGGAATGCTTGACATGTTAAGAAATTAAGTAACTGATATTAGAAAAGTACTGTTAACATATTGTTAACACTAACAGAACTATTTTGTTGGCATGAACAAATGTGGCTGGACCACAATGGTCTCCAGGGCTCAGCTTAACCAGAGGAATCATCATCATAAAGTTCATCTTAGCAAGACAGCAGAAGATGCAGATCATTTTCCTTGGAGGAAATGGAAAATTTCTATCAATTCATTTAAGAATAAATAATACAGGCTTATACCACAAAATGGCTTTTCATCTCTTTAATATTTCAACAGAAATAGAACACCAGTCTCTCATATTTACAATTACTATTGCTGAGTACAAAAAATATGTAAAACTTACAAAGTGTACCTGTAATTTGTAATAATAAAAAATTTAGATAAAATTTAATTACTTTTGCATTTTTTCAGCAGAAGTTTATGGGAGCTGACAAAGCAATGAACTAAAGTATGTACTTACATGCATTTCCTTCATTTCAAAGTGGCTGAAGCATTTTTTTTCAGGTTTACCATGTATTTATATGTCTGTTACATGAATACTTTAACACCAAGCCATGACTCGCTGAAAATGTGGGTGGCAGTTCCCTCATTTAAATATTAGTACCCAAGAAGGCTCACTAGTGACAGGATTCACTGTAGAATGAAAACAAAGCAAGCGTAAAATGAATATTCCAAAACTTTATTCCTCAAAAAATGTGGCTTAATTTTCTGTTTTGTACTTTCAGCTGAAATCAGATTTAGACAAGCAGGACGGCAACCTGAAATACATTTTGACTGGGGAGGGAGCTGGAAATATTTTTATCATTGATGAAAATAATGGCAAAATTTACGTGACACAAAAGTTGGATCGAGAAAAGAAACCCTTCTACACCCTGAGAGCACAAGCAATTAACAGGAGCACCCAGCTTCCTGTTGAACCTGAATCAGAATTTATTATTAAGGTTCGAGATGTCAATGATCATGAACCACAGTTCTTGGATGGACCTTATGTGGCCACTGTTCCAGAGATGTCACCTGAAGGTATGAGATACTGTGAACCAAACTTTATTTCCTGATTTTTTTTTCAGATAGCTATGTTGATACAAAATCTTAATAGTATATTTTATAGACTGTCATTCAGTCAGAAAGAAGCAAACATTTTTACAAGCTTTTACAGAGACATGTAGTGAGAGCACAAGGGATAATGGGTTTAAACTTAAAGAAGGTAAATTTAGACTAGATATTAGGAAGAAATTCTTTACTATGAGGGTGGTGAGGCACTGGAACAGGTTTCCCAGAGAAGCTGTGGATGCCCAGTTATCTCCAAATAACTATCTCCAAAATCAAAGGAAAACTAGATTCTTTAAATTCTGGAAGTGTTCAAGGCCAGGTTGGATGGGGCTTTGAGCAACCTGGTCTAGTGGGAGGTGTCCCTGCCCATAGCAGAGGGGTTGGAACTAGGTGATCTTTAAGATCCCTTCCAACCTAAACCATTCTATGATTTTATGAAATCTGCAAATGTATACGCTTAAACTGAAGGCTGTACATACCTCTACTTATTATCTTTGCCTTTAAATATTTATGTACCTACAGATATCTAAGCCTTTTTATGGAATCTGGATACATGCTTGGATTGACTATAGAGAGTTGTCTTTCCCATCAGTGATTCAGCCTTGAAATTGTTTAAAAATAAAACATTACCATTCAAAATAAGCAGAATACTATAGCCAGTTGATACTGCAAAAGAGATGTGGGGCTGACAGATTTCACTAGTTTTTTCAATCATTATAGCACCCTGGTCTCTAGAAAATTGTTCAGAATATGATTATTGTTACAAGCTGTGAGCTCCTCAGGCTTCTACCAAATTGAAAGAAAAGTAGCATGCATGTAAGCTTTAAAGTCCTCTGACCTCAGTTTACTCTATTAAGGACATAAATATAAGCTTGGTTGAACTGAAAATTACTCAACAGCATCCTCCTCTGATTCTGCTTAATAATTAAACAGCATGTCTTTATTATACCCTGTGTAGTATAAATCATATACTGTAAGCAAACAAGAGTCACATTCACATCACAGGCACTCACAATTTCCTCCACAAAAACAGGGATAGTTTCCTTCCTAAAAGTAATGTGTTCAGAACAGAAATGGTATGAAGCTGATGTGGAGCTGATGTGATGAGCACCTTCACACCATGATGCCCACCTATTTACGGTGCCAAGCCTCCTTCTTGTCAGTCAGCTTCTCTTTGTTTTGATTAGGTGGCATTCAGTGAAGGACTGCCTTCTGACTTCCTTAGCACATGAATTGAAATTTTCCTGTCAAGAGGAATAACTTAAACCCTGCACCTCCTCTTTCCAATCTCCACAAGATCAAACAGACCTATACTAGGATCGGTCATTTATCTGGAAACTTAATACAACAAATACAAAACAAAGTCAACATCTGAACAGCATAGGTGTACATATACATATATGTGTACATACACATATGCATACATAATGTGTATAAACATACATTTAAATTCTTTTAAAAAAACCCAGAACTGTGAATGCAGCCGACATAAGCATGTTATAGATACTGCTGTCTCCAAATAACTATCTCCAAAATCAAAGGAAAACTAGATTCTTTAAATCCTACAGAAAGAATCCCTGTAGTCTTTTGAATTCATACTCCCATCATTTTCAGTTATTTCTATTGCAAATAATATTGAAAAAAATTCAACTATTGTGCTACTTAAAACTGTATGAATTAATGAGGTTATTAATGTAATAGCATCAGTGATAATAAAAGGTAATAAAAACTATGTTTCATTCAGCATTACTTGTGCAACTTTTAGGGCAGATACAGTGAATCTTTCATAGTGAGCTGTAAACTTGATCATCTTTTGCCAGCTTGGATAGCAGTTGCAAGAAAAGGATATTCATGCCTGCAGTTTAATCAAACGTGGGGTTAGTATCCTGATTTCTGCCAGGAAGCAGTAGCTCACCATCACTACCAGCAATAGCTACAAAAGACATACATTTAATCAATTTATGTCCTAGTCACCATGTTTATTAGACCGTGTACCAGAGAAATCACTTTTGTGTGTATGATTGTTTCTTCACTACCACTTTTTTCCATGCAGACAGAATTATTTGTCTAATGACTCCTACATCTGAGTTCTTGGTCAAATAACTTTTTCTTACATAATCAGTTGCCTTGTTAAGGACCTTTGCATTTTTTTATGTGCTCACAGTAGTGACATACATAGTTCAATATCTAGAATTATCTTGGCATTTTATCTGGAATTTCACAGTTTAGGACTTTGAAAATGGCCTTTTTTTTTTCCCCTTGATAAGGCATTGTTTATGAGGCACTTGGTCTCATAAAAAATAGGTGGTAATTTAGTACAGCTTGATTTATACTCACACAGACCTGTAACCATTCACAGAAGTATATCAAGAATTGACTTACGGATTTCTTCTATTTTATTTTTCTGTCTTAATGATGAACTCTTGTCTTAACGATGCTATATGAAGAAAAAAAAATAAAAAGAAAAAAGCTAGGTAGGATGGTACTTCTGGTCAAAAACAACAGTAGTAATCTTTTCCTGTATACCTCTTTCTCACCTGAAATCATCAACAAGCAGCTGAAAGATGAGAACTTTTGATCTATATTGACTCAAGCTGGCTATAAACCAATAC